AGTTGCAATTAAAGCTGATGTTTACAGATGGAATTCCTGTTCAAAGCACACGTTCGTGCCAACCCACGGCTGCTTTTCCTTGCAGTGTGCTTGCTTAATATTTGTCAATTAAGAATTTTCAGAAATGTATGAGCTTTCTACTTTCTGGGATCCACATGTCTAAAAGTTGGACTTCTTGTTAGCTGGGATGAAGTAGCTGGCTAGCTCGATTACTTGGCCCATATGGATTGATTGATTATGTCTGTCTGTCTGTCTCTGGTCTAAGGTCACTCCTAGAGATGGGCACAAATTGGCGGTTTGGTTCAGTTTTGTTTTTGGCCCAACAGGTGTTCTAAGGTCTTTGCTCTGCCTCCTCCGGGCACTGCCCCTGAGTGGGCACCTGCTAGAGGAGGCAGGGCTAGGAACCACCTGTTTGGCCAAAAAACAAACTAGCGCATACTGCTGAAGTGGTGGTTCATGCTCCTCTCTAGTCACTTCTGTCTGTGCTCCTTGATTCTTTCTACCGGTGTAGATTATGTACTGTTGATATGGCCATCGTGACATCAAAACCTGGAACCATGGCTTTTCCTTGGCTTGTTTGCTCCACTGGCTACGGAGGAATAGGACCTGATCAAAACGAGTGGAGAAGAACAAATCAGAGAGACAAGGCATGGTTTGTTATGTTGCCTGCCGTGTAATTGGTAGCTTAAGTGGCAAACCATGTTTAACAGAAGCCATGGCTTATTGTGACATGTGAACATGAGTAGTTCTCAGCCTTGTGTATTGCTCACCCTTCCTATGTCAAAATAACCACACTAGGCACACAAGTCTTCTCTTTATGAGGTCCTCTGTTGTGGCTAGGAGTCCTGTAATATTCAATTCCAACTAAGTTCCTCTAACTAGAAGGTAAATTTGTAGAAAAGAAGAGAGCATTGGTTGAGCTCCACCATGAAAGGGGAAAAAAAAGGAGAATAAAACCCGCTTTGTGCTTGGAAAAGTCTGTTTGTAACAGTACATTTGCCAGCGTGGATATAGCTTGGAAAAGTTCCATTTTCAGATGACCCCTTCTGCCACGTCCTCACAAAAGAGACAGTTCTGGGGGAGGCAGAAAGTGGACCTGGCTGACATCGTCAAGCTGGCTCGACTAAAACGCCTGTCCTCTGTTCGTGACTGTTATTAGCAAATAATCGCAACTGCCTTTGATTCTGGGGCAGCCGAGTCAACAATGATCTGAGAAAAACTCTTGCCCCTGAGGCCACAGTGCCTCTTCATGCATAAGCACCCAAGGGTGGGGCTTGGCGAAGATGTATTTAGCTTTGTCCCTCTGGCTTTGTAACTCTGTACGTATTTACTCTGCTGATTTTCCTTCTTCCCCATCAGCCGGGCTGAAAATGAAAGTTGCAAGGAGTTCCCCACCCATCCCGGGCCACATTACCTTTACTAATTTGTCCTCCTGAGATAAACTGGACTGAGAGATTGTAAGTGGTCCAGTTAATTTCACAACTCGGCAGCTGGAACCAAGGGGGTCCCATAAATTCAACACTCAGTTCAGGCCAGCTCCACCTTGGCTGGGTGCTGACTGTGAGCTTTTAGGAATAGCCCACCAGGCTCCAGGTAAGCGACATCAGACCCTCTGGAGGTTTACTCGATTGCAACTCCCATCATCCACAGCCATTTGCAAGGGATGAAGCTGGGAATGGTAGTCTGAAAATCTCTGGAGCCACAAGCTTGAGAACATGTTTTCATAATTGTTCTTTCCCATGAGTGTGGAACCTGCAACAAAATGTTGCAGAGGAAAGCCTAAAATAGCCAGGTCCCTCTCTTACCTCCCAAAGCTTCAGATGAAGACAATAGGAAGAATAAGTCATGTTTCCATCTCTTAACATCATTGTCATTTTAATGATTTAAGCAATGATGCTGAAATACGTGATTAAAAAAAATTAATTCTGGGGGAATGAGTTGCTTTCCACCAAATTATTTATAAACTCTTTTCTCGTTTTAGAGGTGTAATGGATCTATCTCACGCCTGTAGGGTGGAGTGAGAAACAAATCTCAGAGACCAAATAATCAGTGTGTAGTGAAAAAAAAATGGGGGGAACAAGCCCGGATGTGTTAAGTTACTGAGCCCTCATAAATTCCACCCTTCCCCTAGAATTTGTCATGTAGTACAGGCTGTATAATCATGACAATGATGTATATATCTCTATGCAAATGTGCCAAAGTGTGTGCTTGCTTATGAGAGAGAGAGAGTCTGTCTGTCTGTCTGTCACGATTAAGCCATAGCTTGTCATGGATGAGGAACCAGAGAATTTGAACCCAAGTCCAAGCCAAGAGTGAGTGAGGACTAATAATGGCCAGGCAGTGTTAAAGACGGAAGATGAAATGTAAGGGCATGATGAGGGGACCAGGGAGTCACTCAAATGTTTTTCAACCACAACTCCCATCAGTGCTTGCCAGAGAGATGATGGGAACTTCCGGAGGACCACATGGTCTGCGCCACTTGTTTTAGTCGTTTCTCTTGGCCAGACCCAATGGTTACCTTGGGGGTGGGGGAGATGGAGTCACTCAAGAACCTTAGAACACGTTATTAGCCTTGTACAAGGGGTGGGAAGCTCTTGGCCCCCCTGATTTTTGTTAGACGGCCAGCCCCATGGATTATGCTGGCACAGGTTGATGGAGGTTGTAGACCAACATCATCTAGAAGGCCACAAGTGGTTCACCCTTGGCCTGGCAAGATGCTTCAAGCCATAGGTCTGGTGGCTTGCTTGGTTACCTTGGGGGTGGGGGAGATGGAGTCACTCAAGAACCTTAGAACACGTTATTAGCCTTGTACAAGGGGTGGGAAGCTCTTGGCCCCCCTGATTTTTGTTAGACGGCCAGCCCCATGGATTATGCTGGCACAGGTTGATGGAGGTTGTAGACCAACATCTAGAAGACCACAAGTGGTTCACCCTTGGCCTGGCAAGATGCTTCAAGCCATAGGTCTGGTGGCTTGCTACACTTGGCGGTTGCATTCCAGCTCCGTTAATGTCCGGTCCTTTCATTCACAGCATTGCAGATTCTGGGGGCCTCCGGGAGATGATTCTCCCAGACTCAGAAGAGGTCAAGCATGCATACTGAGACTTTTCTCCAGCTGCTTCTGATGGTCTTCTGGGATCCCCATAGCTCACTCTCCCAGGCAGTTTTCATGAAAGCCATTAGAATATTGACTTATAGTTAAAAACAATGCCCTTAAAAGTGATTACCGTATGTCTTTAAAAAAAAAAAGCTCCCTAATAATTCAAAAAAATAATGCCTGGAGCCTACAGAACAACACAGGGCATGATGTATCTTACACTGCTTTCCAGTTTGTTCTGGGCCACATTCATCATCATCATCATCTTGGAACAGCAGAGCTAGTAGGGACCCTATGGATTATCTAGCTCAACCCCGGTCAAGGAGGCCCAGTGGGGGAATCGAACTCTGGCTAAATGGCCAGAGACCTAAACCACAGAGCTATCCGGCAGTTATTTTAAGACAGTAGTCTTGACTTATAAATCCATATATTTGTTGTTGTTAAGTCGTTTTAAGTCGTGTCCGGCTCTTCGTGACCCCATAGACCAGAGCACGCCCAGCCCTCCATATATCACTTTATCCATCTAAAAGATCCCTTCTTTGTGCAGGGACCTGACTCTGTTTAAGATTTTTATTATACGTTGTTCTTGAGTGCTCCTACTTGAAGGGGGAATCCGTGTAAGCCCTGCAGAGAGGCACTTTTGGTGGTGGCCCCTTAGTTTTGGATTTTTAATCATTATTGTGATTTAACTCCTTTTAAATCTGTAATTTATTGCTGTATTACTTGTTTTAATATACCAGATGGGTGGGATATAAATCAAATGGATAAATGAATGAATGAATGAATGAATGAATGAATGAATGAATGAATGAATGAATGAATGAATGAATGAATAAATAAATAAATAAATAAATAAATAAATAAATAAATAAATAAATAAATAAATAAATAATTTAACATTATGAGCTGCCTTGGCTGGCCTCGCTGGGACAAAAGCAGCATGAAAATGATGCTAAATAACTAAGTAAATCAATAAATGATTCTAAAATTCTTGTATCAGAAACCTGCTGGTCCCTCCTTTGCTCCTGCTCCGTACCAGGTGAAAAATACTTTATTTTCCTAGCTCTTAGTGAACAATACTTTACTGCTGTTTTTATTGTTTTGAGCTTCGTTTGCTCTGCTTTTACTGTCAACCTTCTTTTACTGCTGCTTTGTTTGTTTTAATTCTCTCCGTTGCTGAAGTTTGATTGAAACCGACTATTTACAGCCTTGGGAGCTGTTTTCCTGACCTGGAGTTTCACAGTGCCTGGCTCTAGAACCTGTTTCAGGTCTTTTCTGAGTGGCAGAAATTTTCAAGGAACAACAATCACACTATCTTTTTACATGTACGACCTACCTGCATTCTTTCAGAATCCCCAGGGGTAGTTCACAAAATCATAGAAGGAAATGATTAAAACACAGTAAATCTGACAGTGTGGCTGTCAGAAATTGCTGGGAAGGTCAGAAGGAGGAGATGAGAATATGTTTGTTTGTTTGCTTGTTTGTTTGTTTGTTTGTTTCCCACATCATCGGGCCACCAGGCCACTCTGGGCGGCTAACAACAATAGGAACAACAATATTAAAACACGATAAAAAAATAAATAAATTAATACATAACCAAATAGGGCAAATTAAAACAGATGGTAGTGAAGGTGGTAAAAAGGGCTGGTGGAGAGGATGACAAAAAGGAAGCCCGAGATCTTAATGCTCTGGGAAAGCCTGGTGGAAGATCCAAATCTTCAATGCCCTTTAGAAGTGCAAGACCCTTTATTTTCACAGTACATTTAGTTTTCCCACAGACACTGTGGGAAATCTGGCTCAGAGGTTTCGCCACCGCCTCATCCCACCCCTAACATGGGTCGCCTTGATGCAACTCGCCAGGAAACATCCCAAAGATTAACATTCCCCCCATTGTGTCTCCGCTCAGCTTCAGGTCTGTGCGCCTTCTGAAGAACGACGGGATGGGCTTCCAGAAATACTCCTGCATGAATGAAGACGAAGCCTGGAAGAGCTACTTGGAGAACCCCCTGACAGCAGCCACCAAGGCGATGATGAGGGTCAACGGAGATGATGACAGCGTGGCTGCGCTGAGTCTCCTCTATGACTACTACATGGTAGGAAGGCAGAACACAAGGTCCTGCCCCCTGGTTGACATGTCTCATTCACCGTTTACATTTTCCATAGGATTCAGAGCCTAGAAACATCTCCAGATTCTCTCAGGAAGAAGGCTCCTACTCTGTAGGGATGTCCATATTGACCTGTCTGGTGGTAAATATAAGGCAACATCACCATATATCTGGTGCAGTCCCCAAAAGGAGTGTTTGGCTGTGTGTGTGTGTGTGTGTGTACACTCTTGATAAGACAAGACTTAAGACCATTAGGTGTTGGCCACTGAATTTTTTACCTCAAATATCTGGAATATTTCCTTCAGCAAGTTCAGAGGGGTTTTATGGAGTCTCTGCCACATATTGGTCTGATTTTGCTACAGTCCTCACTAGTATAGGTACCGTATTTTTCGCTCCATAAGACGCACCAATTTTTTAGGAGAAGAAAACAGGAAAATATTTCCTTCAGCAAGTTCAGAGGGGTTTTATGGAGTCTCTGCCACATATTGGAATGATTTTGCTACAGTCCTCACTCGTATAGGTAAATTGCTTCAGGCTATCTCTGTTGTGTATTTAACTGGACAGCTCAACTATCTCTGTTGTGTATTTAACTGGACAGTTCAATGAGTTAGGTATCTGCCTGCGGAGCCAGAGTTTGGGAGTTTGATCCCCCCTCTGTGCGTCTCAGAAGAGCCAGCCTGGGTGGCCTTGGGCCAGCTGCACAGTCTCAGAAGACCTCCCCAGAAGAAGGGAAGGGGAAACTATTCGAGAGTATTCTCCACCTAGAAAATCCTGAAAAGGATTGCCAAAAACCGGAATTGACTTGACAGCATGCAGTTGTATTGTATCTCTGGTGTAATCCAAAGTATTTGAAGGTAGCTTGGTCTGGAATGGGCAGCTAAGAGCCAATGACCGCACAAAAGCGGTGCTCCTCATTATGGGAACTCATTCTGGTGAGCACCTGCACTATGAAATTTACCACGACGCCAGTGTTGTCAATATTACCAACCTTTGCTGGATTTAGTCTTCTTGAACTGCCACAGTTTCCCATGTCCTAACCTGCCCTAGTCAAGCTTTCCAGGAATTATAGCTTTCTCAGGGTACAGAAAATTCTTCCTAAAGTTCCCGGTCTTTCCAGAGAAGACGGATGATTGTTAAACTGGCTTCATTTCCTGGTGTAGATATGGTCTGTCGGGTATTCAACTCATTATTTTGTTCAATTCCCTCCTAAAACACCTGTATCTACAGCATGGGCAGACGCAGTGTCTTAACGAATAGACTCGCTCCTCTAAGATTCATTAGCAACAACCTGTTGACAGCACAGCTGTATTTATTATTCATTCTAGATCGGCAGCTTTTCTGGGATGGGAGCGTGGGAGTTGCTCTTATGGGGAAACAAAAATGATTGCAAGTCTCAACATAGAAAGGAAGGTAGAAATGAAACTATAGCGCCTGCAAATAGACAGATCAAGATATGTTGGCAGTAGAGAACCATCCCAGAAGTATGTCCTCTGGTTATTCATGCAGTCTTTCTTTTCTTGTCCTCTGACAGATTCCGAAGCATAAGACGCTCCTTCCATCTGGAACAACGGGACGCAATGAGCTTGGGAAGAGGTGAGAAAGACCACCATCCTTTTTCACGTGTTACTCTGTGGATGCTGGCCAGTAGAGATGGCCACGCACTTCTGGACAAGCAGGTGTTCTGTGGACACCCCGGCTGCCCTCCCCTGCCTCCTCTGGTGGGCGCCCAATCGGAGGCAGCATCCCAACCTTCCCTGCCCTTCCTCCTCCTCTGAATGGGTGCCTGACAGAGGAGGCAGGGAAGGGAAGCCGGGGTGCCTACGGAACACTTGTTCATCAAAAGGGCCAATATTTGTCCATTATGAATGGAGGAACTGCCGGTGATTTGTGCTTCTCTCTACTGCCAAGCAAAATTGGTCACCTTCGCTTGACTTTGACCAGCTGGAGAGACCAAGAGGCCACACCGAAACCTGTATTTGCACAGAGTATTTGGTTTATGTAGTAAAATTATGTGGATGGGTATTCAGGGACCGAGGAAAATCCAGATTTTGCTATCAGATCAGAACGTATGGTACACAATTTCTGGGGCAGAGCTGGTTGAGAAATAAAAAACTGTGCATGGTTAAGTTACCTTTTCACGAAAACACTGGTGATGTAAAAAGTCTTTGCTGTTGTTTGATTCATTTAAAAATTATTTTAAGGGGATGGGCCAATAAAATATACAAATTATTCTATTCAGCCTACCAAGCCAAAGTATTTACTAGTTTGTTTAATATTAACCCTGCTTCTGGGAGATATTCAGGCCTTGACTTTGGGGGGGGGGTCTCTTAGAAAAAGAGAATTCCCACAGTTGAAGATTGAGCATCTTGAATGTCTCTCAGCCTAGCTATTTGGTGCAGAGATGGCATAACCAAAGAAGGTCAGTTTTAATGGTCATGGAGAAGACACACTGTAGACAGCACTGAAAGTGGTTTCAGCTATTCTGGACTCAGCTGAAACCTTGAAATCAAGCTAGAATGACCAAGCTGGCACAGCAGACCTCGGAGACCCGGGTTTTATGGGTTAAAGATGCTCCAGAGCACAATTCAACAGAGATGTCTCCCCTCTCCTCCTTTTCTTGCTCTAGGGAATTTGAATCTTGCCCCATGTCCTCCTTGGTGGCACTAACAAGGGACATAAAGAACGAGGAGTGACTGATTCCCTTGGTCTTTCTGCCCTTAGTGGGAAAATGATAAGCATGTGTTTTGTTTCAACTCCATCCAAAATGTGCTTTGTTCTGCCTTTCATCTTCCATGGGCTTCTA